TTTTTTTCCAAAAAAAACTTGATTGTATTGTTTTTTTAGTGGCGATGCTAATACCAAATAAATAATAATAATGTATTAGTGTTAATTTCTTGCTGGTATTTTAGTAGCAGGGAGAGGATCTTTTTCAAAAAAAGCTTAATTAATTTTCTTTAACAACACATTTTGGAAAAGGCTCGATTTTAAAAAAAATTGAGAGAGTGATCATGATCATAACCATAATCATAAAGCAATAAATTTTGTGAAACGAAAATTTTATTTTTCTTTCGAAAATTTCCAAAGAGAGGATATAGTATTGTTGCCAATTCTTTCTATATAAATATTACCAATCTTTTCTAAATCGTTACATAGTATGTTGCACTGATTTGGTTGAGTTGTATTCTTTCGTTAACAGTATATAATAATAAAACAAAAACAGGACAAAATGACGGATTGTTTTTCTTCGCAGGAGCAAATATTAATATTAATAGCTTGTTAAACCTTTTTTTTTTTTTAATAAAGTGGCAAGTAGATGTTCCACAGCATGATAAATTAATTACCGCCTCATCAGATTTTGCAACCCTTTAGTGTTTAATACTTTCCAATCTTTTATATTCTTCTAACGCTGCTTTAGAAACCTTTAATTGAGCATAGTCAAAACCGAGAATATGCAAGTTTTTTAACGAAAGAGCTCGGCTCATTGCAACGTATATTTATCCTTCAGCAAATATGTTCTCTCATCAACATTCAACAACGCGATTGAGCTTGTTTTATATATGGCCCAAATGGCCAGCAATTTGATTCAATTTTTTGGCTTCCACTAATGACACTGTCAGTGGAGGAGATGGTCTTAATGAAGCACGTAGATAAAAAAATGGATGACATGCTTTTTTTAATTAGTTATTTTTGTTTTTTTTTTTTTAACGAAAGAATATTATGAATTTGATCAATTAACATTCCTTCATTTTATATTACTCGAATATTTAGAAGACATTTCTTAAACTAAGCTTAATTCTATTTAGGAAATTTATTTTTATAAATTAATTAAAATGTTGAAACATTTAACGGTGGCTTTAATTATTTAAACATAAGTTTATCTATTGTTATATTCAAGAGACGGAAGGGATGTAATTCATAGTAAGCTTAAGCTTTTTTTATTGGTCCAACATCTTTTCTTTCTTTTATTATAAATAGAACTTCTATCCATTTAAAAAAAATTTGGCAGTGCTTAACCTAACTTGATGTTAACATTAACGTAAATGATGACATCGATGTTAACGTTAACTTTAACTTTAACTTTAACTACTCTATATACACAACGCATTCATTTTCGTAACACTTGAAATTTCCTTTTTTATATGAAAAATGATCGAAAATCTCCTTTTTAAAGTTAAGTACGTCGCACTAAATTAATTCGTTAATTAAAAGTCCATGTGGATTAATTTCTCCCATAGATTATTATGATTCTTTAAATATAAAATTTACTTATATATAGCATGTACATTAGGGGCTTACTGCACATGAATTTTTATTGGATAGAACCTAATTTATCAGGTTAAATTTATAATGCGAAACAAATTTGGCTTATTGTAACGATCGTAAAAAGTTATAAAATCAATTCCAAATTCCCCTCCATCAAATCCTTTTCATTCATTACTTGAATGATTTATTCATTAATTGGTTACTTCAAAGATGTTTTTTATGATCAACCAAAACAACGTTAAAATCAAACTTTTTATTTCCTATCTTTTTTTTGGTTTTATCTCCACAGCAAAGGCAGAAAAAAATCTTACGTCAACAGTGACTGATTTTCTCGCAAACATAATACAATTACCGCAAATCAATGTTACTGAAAATGGAGTAGATTTTATATGTCCTGGTACTGGTCCTACTAGCAGTTTAGAAGAATACACCAGCTTTTTTTCTCAAGTAGGGACGTTCATCCCTATCGCAGGTCTTCTTTTTACTATAGTTATTTATGGTACAAAATCTATATTTGGAATTATGATAACCTGCTTTCTTGATGATATTGTTATTATTACATCTTCTTTTGGACCGATTTTTTGGTGGTACACTTTTTCCAAACCATTCTGGTTTTATGGAATAATAAATCAGCTCCATGATTCAAATTACAACCATAATCCTATCTATTCAACAGTTCTTAATGTTTTGTTCGGAAGTATGACAATTATTCTGTTTTTGGGGGAAATTATCAGGCTTTATTTTCACAAATGTCGGAATAAGCTCAATGAAAAGAATTTGATGGAAGAGAGTTTGGAATTGAATTTATATTATCTTTGACTGCTAAATATCCAATAGAATGAGCAAGAAATATTACTTTTTATGATATGCCAAATTTGTGTTTCGGATAAATGAAAAAGACAAATCAAGACAATGTTTTATTGGGGTTGGTCACAATGGTTGATCGTCAACACAGTTCAGGTCAAATATTTATATATTATCATTACGGCCAACCCCAATGTTTATAAAATTCACATATAAGTAAATTTAAAAAAAAAGAATCAATATAATCTTTTGAGAGAAATTAACTCACGTAATAATACTAATACTTTGTTTATGTAATTAAGTAAGCTCTAACTTGAATGTTACACTTTTAAAAAAGAATCATAATGATCTTTTGGGAGAAATTAACTCACACAATAATACTCTGTTTATGTATTAAGTAAGCTCTAACTTGAATGTTACATTTTTAGAAAAGAATCTTTTGGGAAAAATTAACCCACATACGATAATAATGATACTTTATTTAAATTTATTTAAGATAAAGGTCAAAACAGGTTTATGTGCAAATTAATTTTATCAATTATGTACGCCTGATTACGAAATGAGTCATGCTAAAATTTACATTATGCATGTCGTTCCAAAATTTCCAGATAGAAATCTTGAATGTTTCATAGTTAGACATACAATAAAGCTCTGAAATATATATTTAGTCATAATAGCTCTACGCAAGGGGTTTTTATTAGATCACTATGCAAAGTTAGTACCTTGATCAGATAATTGGGAGAACTAATCCTCTGACCTTTGATCACATGTGATTTTGGGCTAATCCAGCTTTCAACGCAAACCATTTTTTATAAGCGAAACGAAACAAATAAATTAATTTTGTATATACGTTAAGAATTAAAAAATATATACTGTATTGTATTAAACATTGATGTAAAAATTTCTATAGTTAATATTTATGTTAATGTCGCAATCTCAATAATTGTTTCAATTATATCCTTTCGGCCAAAGTAATCAAAATAATATTGCTTTTCATTTCCTCAATTAATACATTAGTCGGTCCAATGTGATAAACAATATTAGAAGCAAGGTGATGAGTCAAAATATTAACATGTAAAAATATATAAGATATATCATCCAAATCAATGAATAATAAATAACGAACAAGT